TCTTAAAGTTTTCAAGGACTTGCTTTTCCATCTTCTCTCAGAAATTCCATTGTGTTTGTCACGGTGTGGGTCCGTTTTCATCTAGTGTAGTGAGAACTTGGTTAGGACATTCAAAATGTAAATTTTTGTCTGTAAACTCTGAGAAATTTTCTCAATTTTTTCTTATTACTTCCTACTCTCCATTCTTTTTGAAACTGGTATTACTAACGTGTTGGAATCCCTCGACTGATAGATTAATATTCTTCTAGGTCTTGTCTCCTACTTGCCGTGACTTTTCCATCTGTACTACCTCATGGGAGTATGACTTTAATCTCCCAGTTCCGCTATTGAGTTATTCATTTCTATGATCATATTTTTAATTTTCAAGAGCTCTTTCTTGCTCTATGACTGTATATAATTTTATATAATTCTTTCTTGTTTCATATACCATGTATCTTTTCCATCTTTTAGATATTATTGATAGTAGTGGTAGGGAACCGGTCAGTTCTTCTGGTTCTCTGCTTTCAGGTCATCATGAACGTTTTCCTCACAGCACTTGCTCAGTAGTGATTTCATTTATCTTTGTCATTTCTGCTAAATGTCCATTTCGCTCAGGACAATGCCAGAGTCATATCACAAGGGTCTTCTTTTGCTCTTCACTGTATCTCGAGAGTCTAGCTGATCCTGATTCACTGGAGGCCTTGAAATATACACTGGTTGATGGACTTTACCCTGTCTTGGGCAGTTAAGTCACATTGCCCCTTGAATATCCTCCTAGCTCTGAGTCTGGCAGCCCATCACAGAGTATTCTGGAACACTGCAACAATTCACTTGCATGGAGTGCAGAGTCATATCCACCACCTGAGGGACAGGGAACCAATGGGAGACAAGTCAACAAGGCCTCTAAGAGAAAGTCCCTGGGTTCAACCTTCAGTCTATCACCTCCTAAACCTCTTGGAGTCTCCCTTTCCCTGTTCATACAAAGGGATCACATGTTGGGAGCCTCATGGGTTTGCTTTGAGGATTAAATTTGACCTTCTATGTATATCATATGGCATTAATCCCTGAGACATATTAAGTGTTCTTCTAGTCATAATTACCATCATTATAGTGATCATAGCATTTAGGTAAATTTCATTCTTTGCTTTTATAAACCATAATCAAGAAACATCCTTGAATATATACTTTTAAGAACATGTGTGATTATCTTCTTAGAATAAATTTTTAAAAGAGAAATTTCTGTGTCAAAATGTAAGCACATTTAAATTGCTGAGACATTTTTCAAAAGCATCCTTTAGAGATTTTGCACCAGTTTTCAACCCCATCAATCTTTATGACAGTGTATTCTCCCTGCCCTCTGGTTGATACTCTCATCACTTACTTTCATCTTTGCCAAGCTGGTAGATTGTAATTTTGATTCCCATTTCTTATTCTGCATTCTCTTTGTTTGCCATTTATTTATTTAATATATTTGTTTGATATTGTCATTTCTTCTTTTCCAAATTGTTTTCTAATATTCTTTAATTAGTTTTTGATTGAGTTGTAGTTATTTTAAAATATTGAATTTACAAATAAAAAGGAGCCCCAGCATCAGGAACTGGTCTGACACTTACAGCAAGGCCTCAGTGTGGGCAGAAGGCAGCCTGATACTCACAGCTGGACCAGTTATTCTCCTGTTGGACACAGGTCATCTCACAGAACATCAACATTAGACAAGGACACTCTGAGAACAGGTAAAAGTGAGACAAAATGAGACCACTACAGCACTTTGTCTCAGCACCGACAAAAACAAGGCACTGTGCAACTCACAAAATACCAAACATCTCCCCGTGCTGGCTCATATGGGCGACTGCTGCTTCTTTCCAGTCACAGCTTTATCCTTGCTCTAGTCGGCCCTGTCAGCAGATAACATTTATTGAGATGCCCAATCATAGAATTGGCCCCACTTCCAGACAACACCCAACCTAGAGTGAGCCTCTGTTTCTATAGACCCTCCCCCAAATCACCCAACCAAAGCCCAAATCCTATATAGATTCTAACTCCTTCACACTGACATGCCCACTGGTCCCTGATGCTGTGTGCTCTCCCTCACAGCAACAAGTAATAAACCCAACTTGGCTGCCCACAGATGTGCTCCTGGTGGTCTTTGGTTGAAGAACATTGAGGCATGTTATTACCCCTTTGTCTGTCAAAATTTTTTACTTGTATTTGATTATGGGCATGTGTTCATATGTTGTGAGTGTGTGGTTGACAGAGAGTTGTTTTATGTTTTTCTCTATGGTTTTTCATCTTTGGGTCATGCTTAGAGAATTCTCTATTCCACAACTGTAAAAACTTAATGTATATTTTCCTCCAGGAGAGCGGTCCAAGGGTGAACGGAAATGGAACTGTTTGAACTTTGGGGGAAATTATGGAAAGGAGCAATATGTGAAGAATTCTAAGGTGGTGGCATTCTAAGGTTTACATCTTCTGCTCTATAATTTTACAAGTATGTACAGGGCCTACAAGGTAGTCAATATACGTTGTGTTCAATAAATCTTTTCTCTGGGGCTAAGTGAAAACATACGTGCCTGCTTATTTACCAGGTTAATGAAAACACCACCAAGAGTCCCAATGTAATATACACAAGGATTAGCTCCAGTGACGGGCATCTTTGAATACTTATGACATGGATTTGATAAATCATATTTTGGTTAATGTCTATATGCTCTATTTTTAAAATACAAATTAATTCAAGTTCTTGGGCTTGCTGTATTTTAAGGATATGTCTAAGACCCACATGGACAAATCCATGACCCCCACATGAAGATAATTTTAATAGACATCAACCTCTGAGTCACACAGTATCTCTGTTGGGGGAGGAGACTGAAAACTAAGAACATTCTAGATACACACTGTCCAATATGGTAGCTACTGGCTACATATGGTTATTTAAATTTAAAGTAAATAAAACTAAAATTTCAACTGCTCAGCACAGTAGCCATATTTCAAGTGCTCAATAGCCACATGTTGCTTCTGATTTCCATATTAGACAGTGTAGATAGAGAACAATTCCCTCATCACAGAACATTCTATTGGACGGTACTGCTCTTCATACTTTGTAGGCCTCAAGTCAGATGCATGAGACCCAGGTAAAAGGAAAGGCCCAATATCATTTCTCTTAGAGATATGTCAGATTTCTGTCTGAGATATGAATACATCCTAAGCTGATATACAGCAAAACCAACATAGGTCATCAGTGGGTCTGGTGTCTTCAGGCACAAATTGTTTCTAGTTCCAAAGGGAAACACCTGTCCCTCCACCTCACTTCCCAGACTGAGGACACATTCTGGCATCCAATTTCTAGAGGGTGAGTTCTCTTCTAGCAGAGACTGGGGACAATGCTCTAAGCTAAATTTTGGGAGGTGGGGAGTCCAACTCAGTGAGAGGGATTCTGGGAAATGAAGGGGAGGCAAAGGTGGGGACCCACCGGGAGACTCTCCCTGGTTTATTTAGAACAGCAGTTCTCCAAGTGTGGTCTGTGGAACATTTGCAGTCCCCGAGATCCTTTCATGGATCCATGAGTCAAAACTCTTCATGTTATTACTAGACATCATTCGCCTTCTCACTATGTTGACATTTGCTGAGGTAAAACTCAGTAAGAATGGAGGCCATGGTGCCAAACTGCAATAGTAGTTACCTCCACCACCTCTTACTTGCAGAAAAAACAAAACACTTTCACTTTAAAATGCCCTGAAGCAGTAAAAATTATCTTTACCAAATCATTATCCTTAAATCCACATTTTAAAAATATCTTATATGATGATGTGGGAAGTACACATAAAGCCTGTCTGCTACATTCCAACATACTATGTCCCGAGGAGAATAATTTGAGTGAATTCAGCTAGCCTCTTTTCTATCGAATACCAGTTTCACTTGAAAGAATGAATGACAGAAACTATGATTAGTCTTGATTATTTGTCATACACTTTTCAAAATGAATGTGAGCTTCTCCCTTCAAGAAAATCCACTGACAGTACTTATTGCCTTGATCAAAAGGAAGCTCTCAAGAGAAAACCAGAATTTTGGAAAACTTGTGTCCACCAAGTAAGCTGGACAGCTTCCCAGTACTGACAGACTTTCCCGGTGAGATCTGTGGTAATATTAACAAATGTGATATTTTGATAATTTCTAGCTAAATGCATCAATAAGAGAAGATCTATATAACTAGGGAAACAATACATTACTTTAAATCATACATTAGAATAAGAGCCATTCAGTATGTAAAATAGGCCTGTGGATTTTAATGTAACAGAATAGGAAATATTCAATGATACTGTTTCAGGTTCCACTGCAAATAACCATTGAGAAACTACCACTGGTGTAGTTTTATTTTAGTATCAGAGTGGAATATTCACAATTATCTGAAAAAGTTATTAAAAGTACTACTCCTACACATTTGTGTGAGGCTGTACTTTTTTTTCATATACTTCAACCAAAATAGCAGATTAAATGCAGAGCAAATATGAAGATCCAGTGGTCTTCTAATGAGACAGACAAGAAAGAGACTTGCAAAAATGTAAGATGTAAAAAGATCCACTCTTCTCATTACCTTGTCTATTTTGGGAAATAGCTACTTTTCATAAAAACTTTCTGTTAACTTGCAAGGGCTTAAGAATGTTACTCTAAAGAAATTAATAAAAGCATTGAAAAATTTTTATTCCTAGTTGGTAAATACGGATAGATATAACCAAGATAAACAAAATTCCCCTTGGGGCCCTCGCTAATTTGAAGACTGTATGGATATCCTGAAACCAAAGTGCTTGACAATCGCTGACTCAAACCGCCCCTGGGCCAGGACTCAGGGAGACGGTGTGACAAAGAGCTCTCGGTGCAGGAGGAGAGGGGTCAGGACAAAGTCCCAGGTCCCCGGACTTGGCTCTTAGGGTCTCAGGTCCTAGGGCGGAGTCTGCAGGTCAGTGTTGGGGAGTCCCCGTCTCCCTGAGTTTCACTTCTCCCTCTCACAACCTGTGTCAGCTCCTCCTGCCTGGAGACTCATGACGCGGCCCGAGTTCTCACTCCCACTGCATGTCCTGTTTCTACAGAAGCCAATCAGCGTCGCCCCGGTTCCCGATTATAAAGTCGCCACCGTCGTGCGGAACTCAGATTCTCCCCAGACGGCGAGGATGTTGGTCATGATGCCCCCAACCTTCCTCCTGCTGCTCTCGGGGTCCCTGACCCTGACCGAGACCTGGGCGGGTGAGTGCGGGGTCGGGAGGGAACGGCCTCTGCGGGGGGCGGAGCGAGGGGACCGCGCGGCTGGGGGCAGGACCCCCGGGAAAGGCGCGTCTCCGCGGACCCAGCCTCAGACCCGCCCACCCCGCCCCTCCTCGGCCCCGCCGCGTCCTGACCCCTCTCCTTCCATCCCCAGTCTCCCGCCCTCTCCTCTCACCCACTGGGGTCTCCCGCGCTTCTCCGTCCGCCGCCCCTTTTCCGTCTCACGACCCCATCACCCTGGGACCCGGGACCCGCGCCGGGAGGAGTGTCGGCCGCCTCTCAGCCCCACCCCACCCCCCAGGCTCCCACTCCATGAGGTATTTCTACACCGCCGTGTCCCGGCCCGGCCGCGGGGAGCCCCGGTACCTCGAAGTCGGCTACGTGGACGACACGCAGTTCGAGCGGTTCGACAGCGACGCCGCGAGTCCGAGGGCGGAGCCGCGGGCGCCGTGGATGGAGCAGTTGGGGCCGGAGTATTGGGAGATGAGCACACGGAACGCCAATGGCAGCGCACAGACTTTCCGAGGGAACCTGAACACCCTGCGCGGCTACTACAACCAGAGCGAGGCCGGTGAGCGACGCGGGCCCGGGTCCAGGTCGCGACCCCCCATCCCCACGGACGGGCCGGGGTCTCCCCGAGTCTCTGTGTCCGAGATTCACCCCGAGGCTGCGGGACCCGCCCGGCCCCGACCCGGGAAGAGCCGGCAGGGACTTTTCCGCGGTTCCATTTTCAGTTTAGGTTTAATCTCTGCGGGGGGGCGGGGCGGGGCCGGGGCCGGGGGGCGGGGCTGACCTCGGGGCGGGGTTAGGGTCTCACACCATCCAGGAAATGTATGGCTGCGACGTGGGGCCGGACGGGCGCCTCCTCCGCGGGTACAGTCAGTTCGCCTACGATGGCGCCGATTACATCGCCCTGAACGAGGACCTGCGCTCCTGGACCGCGGCGGACGCGGCGGCTCAGATCACCAGGCGCAAGTGGGAGACGGCCGGTGAGGCGGAGGACTGGAGGAACTTCCTGGAGGGCAGGTGCGTGAAGTGGCTCCTCAGACACTTGGAGAACGGGAAGGAGACGCTGCAGCGCGCGGGTACGAGGGGACACAGGGACCCACTCTCTCTCGTCTCGGGCCGGGCTGGCTTCCCACAAAGACGGGAAATGGGATCAGTGTCAGAATACTGCTCCTCAGGAGGGGGAGGAATCCACCCAGGTTTTCATGTTCTGTAATGAGTTACCCAGAAAGCAAAGAGAGAGGCCCGCCTTTCTCTAAAGGACGGTTTAGGAATCCATTTTCTTCAGGAATAGGAGGGGAGATGATCCCTGAAATCGCCGTGATTGGTTCCCTTTGACCCTAGCAGCCATCTTGTGAACCCTGACTTTCTCTCTCAAGGCCTTGTTCTCGACCTGAGAACATCTGTGTGACTTTGACTCCAGCTTTTCTGAGTCGTTCACCCTCCAGCCACGTCAGGACCAGAAGTCTGTGTTCTCCTCTTTTGAGACCTGGAGCCTCCTACCCTGGGCCGTCACCCTGATTCTAGAACTTTCCAAGGGGTCTGAGATTATCGCATATCCCCAAGTCCAGGCTGCTGTCTGCGTTTTGTTCTTCCTCCTTCCAAACCAGTTGTCCTGTCAGTTTTCAGGATGGTCACATGAGTTCTGCTTCAGTGGCCCATGGAGGTAACTCAAGGTGAATTTTCTGATCCTTCTCCTCAGACCCCCCAAAGACACATGTGACCCACCACCCCATCTCTGACCGTGAGGTCACCCTGAGGTGCTGGGCCCTGGGCTTCTACCCTGCGGAGATCACCCTGACCTGGCAGCGTGATGGGGAGGACCTGACCCAGGACACGGAGCTTGTGGAGACCAGGCCTGCAGGGGACGGGACCTTCCAGAAGTGGGCGGCTGTGGTGGTGCCTTCTGGGGAGGAGCAGAGATACACGTGCCATGTGCAGCACGAGGGGCTGCCTGAGCCCGTCACCCGGAAATGGGGTAAGGAGGGAGCCGTGGGCTCAGAGCCTCTTCTCAGGGAAATCAGGAGCCCTTCTGGAGACCTTCAGCAGGGTCAGGGCTGAGGCCTGGGGTCAGGGCCCTCACCTTCCCTTCCCTTCCCAGAGCCGCGGCCTCAGTCCCCCATCCTCATCGTGGGCGTCATTGCTGGCCTGGGTCTCCTTGTTGCTGTGGTGGCTGGAGCTGTGATCTGGAGGAAGAAACACTCAGGTAGGGAAGGGAGTAGGGATCTGAGTTTTCTTGTCTCATTGGGGGATTTTAAGCCCCAGGGAGAACTTACCCTATGTCATTAAGGGGAGGTACCACCCACACACATGTGCTTGCCACTCTGGAGCTGATTGCTAATGCTCTTCTGTAAAGCACTTGTGAAAATGACAGAAAGATTTTTTCACCTTGATAATTCTGGTGTTGGGGACCTGATTCTCAGCAGTTGAAGGTCAGAGGGAAGGTCCCTGCTGTGGACGGACCTCCAGGAGGGCAGTTGGTCCAGTCCTGACACATCATCTTTCTTTGTGTTTCCCGACCCTCCCCTGGGTTTTCAGTCACATTTCTGGAAACTTCTCTGTGGTCCAGGACTAGGGGGTTCCTCTACTATCTCATGACCCAGTCTTTTACCTGTTATCTTCCCACAGGTGGAAGAGCAGGGAGCTACGCTCAGGCTGCAAGTAAGTTTGAGTGGGGGGTTCATCCCTGAGACCCTTGGGATAGTGCAGACGGGAGCCCATGAGGGAGCTCACCCAGCCCATAGTTCCTCCTTTAGTCTCATCTCCTGTGTACTCTGACCACATCTGGTTTTGTTCTACCCTAGACAATGACAGTGCCCAGGGCTCTGATGTGTCTCTCATGGATCCTAAAGGTGAGACCCTGGAGGCCTGAAGTGGGGAGGGGTGTTGGGGAGAGGGGATGGACCTGGGTTTGGGGATTCTTTGAAGGGGACATTTGAGCATGCTGAGGGCTGTTGAGAATGTCAACACATAGGTGACGGGCCTGAATTTGTTTATCATATTCTCTTTCATAGTGTGAGGCAGATACCTTATGGGAGACCGAGTGATGCAAGATTTGTTCATACTTCTGCTTTGTGAATTCAAGATCCCCTGACTTCTCTTTCTACATTGGCATCTGAGTGTGTCTGGGTTCCTGTTAGCATAATGAGAGGAGGTGGAGAGACTGGCCCACCCCTGCCCTCCATGACCCTCTCCCCACACTGATCTATGTTCTTTCCCTGATCCACTTTCCTGTTCCAGCAGAGTCGGAGCTGGACTGTCTGCATCTCTGTATGAACTTGATGTTGTGCTGGGTACCGATGACCTGCTTCCTTATTGATAATATGAATCTGGATATGAATTTGTTTTTTCTAATTCTTGTGATAAGGGATTGATGTGTTAATTAAAGGAGAAATTTCCTAAAGTTTGAGAGAGGAAATAAATGGAAGCACTGAGAACCTTCCGGAATCCGTGTGTTTGCTGTGCTGAGTCTGTTGCAGGCGGGCACAGGAGAAGGCTCTGAGGAGCTGAGCATGGATGGGGCCTGTGCCCAGTCAGTGCTGAGTGCATCATGGGCTGTGATGTTGTCATTCGTTGCCTGGGGCATCTTTTTGCTCCTTTGTTCTGGTTCCTTCTATAGAACCTTATTCCATCAGTACCTGTGATCACAGGGGTGAGGACATCACCTGGCATTGTCTTGTCTTCAGGACCGTGGGCAGCAAGGGCTTCCTGTGGCCAGGTCAGCCTAGGCTCAGGCCTGGGTCTGGCCCTCAGCCCCTACCTTTTGTGTGTTTATACTTTGTTTCTTTGGGTTTTTTTTTTGGATTATGCCTGTTCTTGTTCATGTTTAGAGTCCTGGTCTCATTCTCTTCTGGGTGTCCCCTATCTCTGACAGCAGCAGGAGCCATTTGACCTGTCATTGTCCCCACAAGGCCTGGGTGGCCCCTGCACACAGCAGTCTGTAGTATTGAGAGATGAATTTTCAGATTTATCCAGCTCTTGCCCTCCTTCTAGGGCCTTTTCCTAGGTTATTTTTTCTATCTTTTACCTCTTTTTAAAGAACCAGATTCTAGAATTAGTAGAGAGGAAGGATTCATTAGTTCCTCATCTTAGATAAATTCCTGTTGGGTTTCTGTCTTCTCTGCAGCCTGACCCCTCTCTCCCTGCGGTTAACTCTAGTCACCCTAGTGTTGGCTTTGATCCAAACTCATGGATTTATGATGTAGAGTCCACTTTAGATTCACGATTGATTGGAAAATAGGACCCATAAGCTTAGGATTGTCTTTCCTGAAGAAAGAAATATAATTGTGTGTGAGTGTGCAGCAGGGCGGCTGTGGGAGAGAGGGGAGAGCAGCGCTTGTGAGAAAGATACAGGCGGCACTGATCTCAGTGTGAGTGGACGTTGTGCTGTAGTTGCCACAAAACAGCATGTGGCCTGAGGTTACATTAATAAAGATACTGTCTCTAGAATAGGGAGGTGCTCTACACTCATCATTCATTCAACTGATGATTGTTGTTTGCCAGATATATGGCAAATTAATTTTGCATCTAGGAAACCTGAGTGAACTAAAAACAGGCAAGAATTGGCTGGTTTTGTGGAGCATGTGTTCTCGTGGGGAGGGGCAGACTGTATGCTATAAGCATAGTGAATAAGGGAAGTGTTTATGTGAGAAGTTGTAAGTGCTTTGAGGAAGGTGACCCAGAGTGTAAGTGTGTGGGGACAGGGAAGGTGGCTGTGTTACTAGAGTGGTCAGTGTGGCCTCACTGGGAAGGTGACCTTGAGGAAAGATTTGAAGGACGTGAAGGTTGTCCACAAGGATGTCTGGGGGAAGTTCTTTCCAGGCGGGGAAACCTCCAGTGTGGATGCACTAGGGCAGGAGTGTGTCTGTGTGTCCTGGAAAGAGGGAGGAGGCCCGTGTGGCTGGAGCAGGGAGCAATTGAGATGAGATAGAGGTGCGGCCAGACCATGTAGACCGGATGATGTTAGAAGAGTTTCAACTTTTCTCTGAGTAGGATGTGGAGTTACAAGATGGTTTTGAACAGGGTTGACCCGATACAACTTGTCTTTAGAAGCATCACTCTGGTGTGTGCTGAGAACAGAACTGAGAGGTGAAGGGCGAGTGACACAGAGAAAACTGCAGGAAACTAGTGCCGTGTCCAGGCTAGGGAGGTTGCTTGCTTTGTCTGGGATGCGAGCAGGGACAGTAACAGGAAGTGATCAGATTCTGGGTATGTTTAAAGATGGGCTTTACAGCATTTCCTAATAGATTAAATCTAGGTTATAAGAAAGAGAAATCACACCCAAAATTTCAGATGGTGCAAGTGGAAAAGTATGGAGCACCTTCAGTGGAAATGGGGAAGACTCTGGAAAGATTAAATTCGAGGAAGTGGCATCATCCAGTTAGGAAATGTTGAATTTCAGATATTTATTAGAAATGCAAGTGAGGCTGGCAGTTGGACAGAGGAGTCCGGAGTTTAGGAGAGATGTCTGGGCTGGAGAAATAAATTTGGGAGATGATACCATAAAGATGATATTTAAAGCCTTGAGAATGGATGGGTCACCAAGGGAGTGATGGCTATAGAAGAGAAAGGAACAAGGACTGAACCCCAGTGCTAAGGGCTCTGATCAGACCACATGCACAGGGTGGACTGAACAGTTCTAACACTGTGTCTAGAAGGCTCTAGACCAGGGAGTCACAAACTTTCCTGTGCACAGGAATCTCCTGGACATCTGGTTAAGATTCAGAGTCTGGAGTAGAGTGTGAAAGTCTGTATTTATAGCAGGGCTGGTGCTGATGCTGCTGGTCTTCAGATCACGCATTTAGTAGCAGAGTGTAGACCAGGATTCTCCCGGGCTGTGCATCAGCCTCACAGGTAGCTTGTTAAAGAAGTGATTCCAGGACTCTGTGCCCAACATTCTAAGATGGTGGGTCTGGGGAGAGGCCTGAGTATTTTGTAACAAGCCCACAAGTAATCCTGGGGCTCAGCCAGATTGGGAACCGCTGAGGTTAGTGATCAAAGAGCACTCAAGGTGGGGAGGGGTCTTAAATCCACATTTAAATATTGTTTTCTCCTGGGGAGAAAAAGACAGGACATATGCTGGGAGATATATGTTGTTTCCTCTACCATGGGGCGTATCCAGGTGGAAATGAGGAATGGTTATCAGTTCAGCAAAAGAAAATCTCTGAATCCTCGCTGTCTGAACCTATTCCCTAGATGGATTTATTTCTTGGTGTAAACAATGGAATCCAAGTTTTTCTACTTAAAATATAAATGAAAATTATATATATATATATATACACAGTTCTGGATCTCATTTTATTTCAGGGAAAGCCATAGAACAAGCTTGGGGCTACACGGCCAGGAACAGAATCCACCATCCAGCCTTGGCCAGGTCCCACGTAGGAACCACTGCCCCTACAGCTGTGTATAGATGCCACTACTCACCCCAGTGACACCCCTGATGCAGCCCCACTGGGCTAGGACTGCTATCATTGCTTGTCTTGGCAATTGGATGACATACTGCCACTCACACCACCTTTGCCAAATGCATTCTGCACTGTCCCAGCTTCTCTGTGTCACCACATCCTGAGTCAGAGTCCAGCATGTGGTCACCTGCTTGGTGGAGCTTCACACCGTGACCAAGAATGTTTGGGAAAGTGGGTTTTCCTCTCTTGTGGAGGGAAATGGTCTCTGCCTCCTTCCAAGACTTTAAGTGTGGAATTCTTCTAAGGTGGGAAGAGGGTACAGGTTCTAAGAGTAGACGTTGGGGGTGAGGGATGGAAAAAGAACAACAAATTCCAGTTTGCCTAAGTGTATTTGAACATTGCGATGGACTGGTGACTCTTTGTGCCTCCCATTTCTCCCTTTTTAATTGTGTATAGCGGTTATCCTATGCCTGTCCCACCATTGTATATCAGGTCTGTTGGGGGAGGGGAGCAGATAACTTGCCTCTTTACTTCACAGGCCTTCATTCCGTGAGGAACTGTCCTTGAAGGGCTTTATTTGCATGAATACACGAGGACACTCATCTGTGCCTGATCCTGATTCAGATGATGACATTCTGGACTTTATGCTGATTCTGTAATGGAATGAGACTTTGGGGGCCCTTGTGTTGGAGTGAGCTGATTTTGCATGTGGGAGGAATGCAAATAATTAGTGCCCAGAAGGTGGACTGTGGTGGTTTTCAAATGTCCACAATTTCTTTGATACTCAAGAGGCAGTGACAATTCCCCTCCCTGTGAGTGTGGGTCAGGCTTATTGGCTCATTCCTAACGGATAGAATACAGCAGAAGTGACAGTGTGCAACTTCAGAGACTGGGTCTTAAAAGGCACTGTGATTTCCTGCCTGGTCTACTCTCCTGGTCACTCAATCTGGGGTAAGTCACCTGCCATATTGTGTGGACATTCAGCTAAGGAGACACCCACATGGCAAGGAGCTGAAGCTTTTGCCAACAACCACACGAATGGGCTTTGAAGTGGGTCCTTTCATGCTAATCAAGCCTTTCAGTTCTGGCCGACATCTTGATTGCAACCTTGTGAGACCCAGAGCCAGAACCACCAAGCTAAGCCGCTCCTTCTTCCCTTACCCACTGGAAACGTGTGAGATGATAAATCTTTGTTGTTTCAAGCTGCTTAATTTTGGAGTACTTGTTACAAACCAGTAGATGACTAATGCACAGGGGAGCAACTATGTGATTGATGGCTGGTTTCTCATTAAAAGCAATGGAGGCCGGAAGAAATTGGAGTGACCTATTCAAAGTCCTGATGGGAAAAGGCTGCCAAACAAGAACTCTTGAGAGCACTGCAACTCTCCTAGAAAACAAAGATGATTTTTTAAGTTATTTATATATTTTTAGAGTTCCATTTTAATTTTGCTGTTAGCTTTTTTTTTTACATTATTTTTTATAGTAGGTATCTATAGAGATTACAATATGCAAGAGGGGCTCTCCAGGTTGCCAAGTGCTAGGAGCCACGGCTGGACACAAACTCACCTGTGAAGTCATAGTGCAGGGAATGGGGCCCTGGAAACCCCAGAATCAGGACCCAGGGCTGGTCCCTCCAGGGCGACACAGGCCTTGTTCTCTCCTCCTCTTGGCTCCTTGATTCTCCCTGCCATCCTAGCACTGGGGAATTGAGGGAGGTGTTCTGGCTCTGGAAGAGGTGGAATCTCCTTAATCACCAGGGCTCCCTTCGTCTCTTTTCTCCTTTCGTCCGCACGTGTGTGTGTGTGCATGTGTGTATGTTTGAATTATACCATCCATGCAAGTACAGAAAAATGCCCAAAACTTAAGTATAGTTTACTGATCATTTATAGAGCCAACACCTGTGTAATTACCATGCTGGTGAAAAATAGAGACCTCAGTGCCCCAGCCAGGAGCCCCTCTCCCCACACAGAACCCATCCCTTCCCACACAGGTGTCCACTCAGCTGACCCCTGCCCCTGCCCCTCTCCTCTCTGGTTCCTC